TTACAAAGAAATATAAATATCTAAAATTAACTAAAATATTGTTTTATTAGTTGTGAATTTATGTATATTTGATTCAATGAAAATCTACTGTGTAAAACTTATTGATTATGAAATACATATCATTTAAGTAATTATTTCTTAGCTATTACCTACCAACTTTAAATTGAATATGGCTTTATCAATTTATGTATATAAATCTGAACAATCTCTTTTTCTAATTAAAAAATTTAGAGAGATTGTTTCAAAAGCAAAATAAGTTGGCTTTTAAATCCAAAAAATAGTTGGTAATTTACCTGAATGAGTTTGAATAGTAATGATTTGAGTTATTTTTTATGATACAAAATTTTGAAACAAATATGTTGGTAAATCATAAGGTCTTTTGGATAGAAAGGATTAATAGGATTTAGTACTTAATTAAGTATGAATAGATTAATTTTATTTTCCAATTCAAATTCAAATGTCCAAATTAATTTGAATAAAAGTTTAATATATTTCCTGACACAATTTTAGCTTATTCTCAAAGATTAATAATTAATTTCGTATCAATATAAAGATCAAGATTACACAATGGATTCGAGCCAAGTAATTTAAAAGTAATTTCCTGTAATATTTAATATCAAATATTTTCTTCAATTTAAAAATAAAAATATGAAGATTTAATGGGAAATCAAATTTAATGATAACAGAAAGTAAATCGTCAGAGAATCTAGCTTATACAACAACAACTTCACAAGCTATGTAATTATATATATTTTATTTACTTGAACTCTATGGAGTATAAGTATGACAAATAGAATTTGGTGGTTAATCACATGTCATATCTGGACTTAATATTCTATTGCCATTACAAATCAAACAACAATTTAAATTACATGTTTTACATAAACGATCACAAATTAATAAAGTTCATTTATAAAATCATCATAGAATCCATCTGGACATATACATTAAGGTATGTTGATATGATCACCTTTAATAATTAAACAGTTTAATGGAGAATCTATATAAGTTTTACATTAATATTCACATTCTATAAATAATTAAATTAATTAATACAAATACAATAAGGATAACCTACCTTCTTTACAAATTAAACATTTTGACACGGATTTCTTGCCTGTTTCACATTAATTTTTGCAAGCTAAAATATTTAAATAATAATAATATACGTTCACAATTTTTAGTAGAATTTTCAAAGAATCCAGATTTGCAATTACAAAAAATGGTGTATTTCTAAGATTACTAAAACAACTTAAACAATTGTGTTTACAATGATTACTACACTTCTAATAATCGACTTAAGTACAATTATTAGATAAAGAATATCTTTTTGATGTTTTAGATATTGAACAAGTTACAAGTTTAATATTTTAAATGACATTCTATTTATTATTACAATCAATGAATATTTACATAATTTTCATTTTCATCTTGATAAAAACCACCTAAACAAGGACAACTTTTTATAACAGATTAATCTATTCTATTTCAATTAATATCACAACTTGTACAATAATCTCTTTTACCATAACATGTAAGACATTAATTAGAACATTCTAGAATGATAATAATAATTTTATTATTTACTTTCACAAATTAATTAACCATTATCATAAAACCCTTTCTAACAAATACATTAATAAAGATTTAATTATCTATAATGTTATAATTCATAACAAGCAAAACATTTACTTGAATTCACTTTACAAGTCTTACATATTTTAATTATATTTATACATGCACATTTCTCTAGTTTATTTTCATAATATCCATCTTTATATGGACAATTCATATTATCTTATTCAAAATATCTTGTTAAATCTTCACATTCTATACATTACGAAAATGTCTAGCATTCTTTACATTTTATAGCACATGCTATATTAATTATAATAATTTAGAAAATACCTTTACATTATTTGGAAAATGTATTAAAATAGAACCCTCTAGTATAAGTTGTATCAGAAGAAAGACAATATGTAGCGGAATTCTTACAAGTTAAACACGATAAATCACATTTTTAACAACTTAAGGTACTTATTTATTCATAATAGCTATCTTAACAAATACAAATATTTCCAGTTTTAAAAAGTAAGATGTACATTCGTTGTTGTAATTCCATTACAATTTAAACAAGAGTAATGACAATCTAAATTAAATAGATGATTATAGATTACTTTGACATTCAATTTTAGTTTTACCTTAAATTTATTAACTGCTAATAGTTGTTCCATATAATTTTGATTAAAATACACAAGTATTTTCTTGTAAGTATCTATCTGATTTACAAGAAATACAATTTTCAGCAGAATTAACGCAATTTAAATAAAGGGTACTGATACAATTATCTATTGTACAACTGCATTCTGCAGATCGATATGAACATTCTATTAAATAACATAAGATTTATGACTATGGACATTTCAATTCAATAATATCAAGACATACACATTTATTAGCTTTAATTTCTCGGTTGTTATAAATTGATTATTTATCAAACAAATATTTTTAGTTATACTGATTGCACATATAATAATACGTTAATCTTAATCTGTACCAAAGCAAGTTATACAAGTATAATTACGCTATTAATTTAATAACTAATGTATTTACAAGAACAAAGTTAATTATCTAGACTCAAATAACGATTAGTAGAGGATTAACAAGAAGTGCAATTTGTGGCTAATGGTCCTTTACAATCTTGATATAATGAATAGATGATGATATTTACTAAAACAGTCTTCAGAAATTCCATCATTTCCATAACCAATTCTACAAACACATTTAAGATCATCAGAAACTACTCTATGTTATCCTGCTATGCACATCGTGCAATATTAATCATCTGAATTATCAAATGGTTAATAATATTTCCAACATATAGGATGACAAGCTATAATTAAATAATAAATAATATTAAATTACGTAAACAAAGTGTTGTTCCATCATCTTATTTATATTCAATTGTTTAAATAGTACATATACATTATCCAGCAATAAATTATGTAAAATATATTTTGACATAAAATATTAATAATATTAAAAGAAATAACAAATACATTAACAAATTTAATCACTAACCCTATTGTAGAATCTTTTTGAACGTACTAATAATTATATAGATCCACTAGGTTCTGTACATTAAGCACAATTGTCAGTGCATGAACCATAATATAAAGCAAGTCTCTTAATCCAAATGATTCTGCAAATATAGAAATTTAATTTATGCTTAATTGCTATGGTGTTGCACTTTATATTCAATTCTACCAAACATAGTTTTATATCGGATAAGAATCACCACATATCTTAACTGCATAAGCTTTAAAAGCCCAAAAATATTTGGCAAATAATATTATCATCAATAAAAATTTTACCTATTTCATTATGCCATGAATCCATCTTAGTGAATAATACTTAGAATGTTAATTTATAATGTGGTGTAATATCATAAAATGTCTTACTAATGTATTAAATCCTCCAAATAAAGGAGCAGCTAAAAAAATATGAAATTATTAACCTTCATAAATTGATGCTTCTGGAATCCCAGAAATAACATTTCAACAATCAATCTATATTCCATTAGTATCCAATGATATCCAACTTGTAGAAATTAATTTCCAAACATAAGATTTTAATATTGTATCATTAACTTAACAAATTAAACATCCTTCTGGGCATTTCTAAACTGATATTATGAAATTTCTAAAACCCCAAGATTCTTTATAAATATATTTTAAATTGCTTCATTAATCTTTACTTATTGATATAATAATAATAATAATTCAAATTATTCCTATCTAGCTGATTAATTCAAATTATTAAATCTTTATTAATTAAAAGAGCATCATATTCAACAAAGACTTATTAAAAATAAATTTATAATTATAATTAATATCAATTACTTAATAGATTAGAAATTGAAATTTAATATTTATAATATTTTTTTTTTTACAAAATTTAGATAAAGAATATTTTAAGCAAAGGCCAATTGCATTTAAGAAGATTAGAACTTTAGATTTAGCCTTAGATATTAATTTAGAATTATAAAATTAGAAGATGAATAAACTATATTAATATATTAAAATTGCATTCAAGCAAGCAATACAATTAATTTTAAATTATAAATGAGTTATAAACTTTAAATAATTTCAAAGATGCAATTTTCAAGATAAAAAGGCTTTAGAATAGATATTGATTAATCAGATTGTTTATTATATTAAACTATAAGTTTAAGCAGTAACATTGTTAGATAATTATTATGATTTATATTACAGAATTAATGCTGCTTCGATTATATAACTTTAGAAAATAATATTTAACTAATTTTTTAAAACTTTGAAGAAGCAGCAAAATGTAATGATTATTATATATTAAAAAATCTCTAAAATAATTTTCTTTTGATCAGAAAAGGAAGGTACAAATTGTTGCTGGAAATTATATAATTATCATACATATTTCTCATAAATTAATTTAAAAGTTAGAGATGAGAAGAATTAATGAAATCTAAATAGATTAAGTTAAATTGTGAAGTAGCAAAATATTTTAAATAATAATTTAATATATATTTAAATTATAAATAACATAGTAAATGATTGAGGAAAAAAAATGACATTT